CTCACGCGGTTGTCACCTCTTGCGGGGAGAGTAGAAGCTAGTAGTCTCAGATGTAGGCGCATGGTGAGGGGGTAGAGCAGGTAGTTGTCACAGTATGGCAGTTTATGTTCATTGAAGCCTGTGGGACGTGGTTAAATGGGGGGAGGGGGAGGCAGTGGACAAGGTAGCAGTCAGTCCGTAGGGGGGGGCGAGGAGGCGTGAGGTGGGATGAGTTTATCTATCGGTACCACGGCAATGCGAGGTGGATCACATAATCCAGCTGCTTACAGGGTTCTGGTCTTCTTCTTTGTATTGCAGCGGCCTCCGCAAATCATAGGAGACGCCCGGTCGTCGCCCGAAGGACGACCTTAAATGCAGTCTGTTGGTCGACCGTTTGGCCAGTGTCCATTAAGTGCTTCGTGATTGAACTCTTAGGTATTTTGTTTTCCGCCCTGAGCAACAACTTCAGTATATGTTCAGCTGAATGCGTTGCCAACTGCCTTTGCATGCGTCCGATGTGTCTGCATCCGCAACTACATATAAACTCGTAAAGACAGTTTGATGTGGCGTGCATAGGCGGAATGTCTTGAGTGTCTGACTGGAATAGCCATTGCTGAGCTTACTAATACGCAACGAGCGTTTGCAATTGAATATAAGGTCGCGAAATTATATGATATCAATAAATCCTCGTAAGCTCGTGATCTTTGCCTTGTTCAAATTAGTTTGTTATCAAAAAGGTCAAAACAATAGGGACGCGGCAACGTGGTTTTTGCAGAGTCACATCTAAGTTAACCTTTAGTATCCTAATTCAGCCTTTCGTTAACATCCTGTTATGACGTATAATGGTCGTATAAGAAATAGATATTCGTAATTAACGGGACAACCTACAGGGACACAAAAAATGGAGTGATAATTAACCATCGTCCGTTGGATGCATAGGAACTTTAGTGACTACACTCCGCGTGCAACGCTTGCCTCTCTCGGCTACTAGCAAGTGTGCGCTCGCCAGTGTCTGCCTACCGAAATCCGGCCTATTTAATAATTTCTCTGTGATTACTCACACATTACCGTGCTCTGATGACTGCCGCGCTCCCACATTTCGGACGCCGGCCCTTTCGCGGTTGCGGACGCTCGCTCGTCCGACTGTCAACTTCCTCCAACCACTCCTCCGTTAGCTCTGTACAGAGTATACTATTCCTCCCGTCTGGCGTCCCACTTCCTCTTTTTCCAGACGGAAGCAGAACCGAAGATCGAAGTGGCAAGTGTCTTTCCCACTGACTGCGATAGAGCGCCTGAGGCCGTGACTGTCTCTGGTTAGATCGAGAATCCGAAACGTGCGGTCAATTAGCGCCATCGTTTTCATCATCCCCCAAAAAGGACGAAGAAGAAGGTTTAAGGACATGGACCGAAGCATCTTGAGACTGACGTTTCGGACACGCGCTCGTTTCCATCATCAGAGTAACGTGGTGGTTATTTCTGTTTGCCGGGACTGTTTCGGCCTTACTGCACGCCTGGTATTTTATCCGTGCTCGACGCACGAACTTTTACATGCTTGTTTGCCTGTCCGTGAGATTGACCGCTGAGGGGCTAGTGTGGCCTTTATCTCCTTTGCGGCTGTCGTAATTGTTGGCAAGTCAGTGCGCTTACTGGCCTGTCCCTCGTCCACCGACGGACTAATCACTTGTTGCTGCCCGCATTAGTTCATGTCAACCTCGTGTGCGCGGTAGCGGTGAAATAGCGTTCCATGCTGGTTATGTGGTTCCTGGCCGACCCCTCTCCTATCTTCCTCTGATCTCAATTATATTCCAGGCTTGTGTCTGCTTCGCCGTCCTGTTGGCCTTGTTCGAATTGACTCGGGCCGTTTGCGTACCGCCTGGTAGGCATGATGAAGGTCCATGGCTCTGTTAAGCGTGCAATTTGAAGACCAACTTTCAAGGAACAGTCCAGCAATCTTTTCATTGGCTCGGCCTATTACCTTTGCTTTGTCGAAGGCGAAAATGTGGTTCTTCTGCTTTGCGTGTTCGTAGACCATAGACAGCTTATCCCTGCGGTTGATTGCAAGCTGATGCTCATAAAACGTGGTGCCAAGGCGTTTGCCCGTTTCACCGACATACCTTGCACCCCAGTCTTGGCATGGTACGCTGTAGACCATGACTGATTTTTCTGTCAACGGTAGCTGGTCTTTGGGCCTCATGATCTGCTGTCTGATGGTTGATTCCAGCTGATGAGCCAAAGCGATCCTGAATGGCTTCAGGATTCTTGCAGTCGCCTCGGATACGTTCGTCACATAAGGGATCGCGAGCCAAAACTTGGGATCTCCTTTTGACTGCTCAAGGTGGGGCTTCTTAAGACACTTGGGTTTGAAGGACTTTGAATAGCCGTTGGCTTCGAAGAGGGTATGCAAGTATTTAATCTCCTTCTTCCCACTGTCGTCGCTGCAGTGTGTCTCAACGCGTTGGAAGAGGGTCCTAACACAACTGCGTTTTTTACCCAACAGGGTGGTTGCTTCTAAAGTGGAGGATGCGCATGGTGTTGGCTACCTTACGATAAACCGTTGTCCTTATCTTCCCGTCTTCTACCTTCGTCACCTGTACGTCGAGGAAGGGTAAATGATTGTTGTCCTCTTCTTCCATAGTGAACTGGATGTCAGGAAAGGTGGAATTCAGCAGTGCCTTGAACTCCTGCACTTTATTCCTTCTGATGACGACGAAGTGGGTCAACCCATTCATTCACAAAAGTTACAGTCTCGAAACTAACCTTAAGACTCTGAGCCGCAGTACTGTACTGTGTCCTCAGAGAGCATCCAAAGCGAGATAGAGCTAGAAAGCGAGAAAGAGGGAGACGAATTTGTGTTTTTTTTTCAAAAGATTTTCACTCTCTTCTACCTCATTTTGCAGGGCATCGACTGGAAATGTGTACGCTACATGCTTTCTGAGATTCAGTATGGCGGTCGCATCACAGACTCGGAGGACATCATAATTATGATAACGCTCGTGAAGCGTATGTTCCTTGAGAAAATGTTCTCATCAGGCTTTCAGCTTGCGCCGAATTACGTGATCCCTCGGCTATCTACGGTCAATCAGTACCTCGGATTCATTAACTCGCTTCCACTGCAGGAGTCGCCGGAGTCCGTGCAGTTGCATCCAAATGCAGAGATTGAGTACGTATACGACGGAAATTGTTTTTTAAGTTTATAGTTTTTTACTCGACTTGTCAAAGAGCCGCTATCTACATCACAGCGGGTGTTGGATTCTGTGGGGTCCGATATTTTGATTTTTTTTCAAACTTACATTATCACACAGCATGTCCATGAAACAGTCTGCATTTCTGCCAAATAGAATGTATCTTTTATGATGGAAGCCGTACAGAATTAACGTGCATGCTGAAGGACAGGATCGAACGGTCACCAGTCTTAAGTTTCGTTTTCCAACATGTTCAAACATTAAGGCAATTCTTTTCGTCCCTTTCCATTGACGATTACCCTAGATCAGAATTCATTGACACAGGGGGAGGGGAGATAGCCTACGTTCTTCTAGTCTAAAATTCAGCCAAGAGTCTAAATAAGTTGGTAGCCGATAGGGTAGTGTACGGGATTCGGTACCTTCTAAGCAGTTCACACAGTAGATGTGCTGAACCACC